AAATTTTAAAAATAATGAGGTCACGGATTTTTCTCACGCTGCCTGTGTCCGTTGTGTTAAATGAACGTTAATTCTCCAAGCTTAAAATAATCAATAATTATTTAAGATCTATGTACGATGGGGCTAGACAGATTGGACGCCTTTAACCTTATTTGAATTGAAAGAGACGTACAGATGCCACCCATTTAGATTCAATTATAAATGATCTCGCTACTCAAAAATGTCGCAAAATTCAGATTATCTAATGTCAAAAAATAAATGTTGCTAATAATTGTCGGATTATTTCAGTGTGTCACCGACAGCACGACAGCTTTAATAAAATCGTTGTTTTCATAATGCGTGCCTAACTATTATTATTGAGACACAATTTGCCCCACTAAATATTGCGCCGAAAAATAGACTGGAGTTTTTAGAAATTCCCAGGGCCGGGTCTGACTCGCTTAGCCTCTGTTTAAAGAGGCTCGGGATACGATACATTTCGTGGCTAAAAAATAATTTCAGCAATTACATAATATTCAGTAGGATATGTATTGGACATGCTTTACTTATTGGTTTCTGATGCTTATCTTACTCAACCTGCACTCACGTAACTTACTTTTGCACCCATATCTAGCTGATCATCTATCTACTTACCTCTCATAATACTGTGCATTGGTGATTATGCAATTTATTTTTTACACTTTTATCAATTGACAGTATGTAACTGATTCGTGTGCAAGCCGACGAAAAAAAAATAAGATGTCATCGATGTTACTTACATACATATGTTCCAGAAGGCGATATTTGACTCCTGTGCCGATCTAATCATCAATGGAACGATGTTTTGAGACTTGTAAAATAATCTCTCTATAAAAAGTAATTGGTTTGAAATTTTGAACTTTTGCTAACAGGTAGGTAAATAAGTAGGTTCCAAACTAATTTTATTATTTTGCATGTGTCGTTCTTGGCCAAATGACGGGCATCATTTTCAAACGAAATAAATCTTTATTTATTAAAGTCTTTCCTAACTAGATTTTTAAGCTGTATACATACATACATATTTACATAAATTAAATATTGAAATGTGTAAAGTTGCCAATGACTACCTCAAAAATTAATTTAGTTCTAAATAAAACAGCAATTACAAACGTATACATATAATTAGAAATGCAGATATTAATCTTAACAATAATCTGCTGCTTACAAATCAAAATATAGCTAATTCAAGACCACATTAATTGATTATTTTTTGCAATTTAAATACATGTATGTTAAAAAACAATAAATTAATTTATAAAAATAAATAAAATAAATAAAAAATATTATGAAATAGCATTCCATAAAAGAATAAAAAACGAAGCTTATAAAATTAGAGAAAAAGCACACATTAGAGGAAGTTTTCTTTAAAAAAAATAATATTAAAATACATAAGAAATAATGAACTATAATGAAAATGAATTGACGAAACGATTAAAACAACTAAAAATTATATGAAAAAAGGTCACTAGATACATTTATCTAGAAATATTTCTAGCGTTTGCGTTGATAGTTATTTGACATATAAATTAGTGTGAATTGAATAAATTAATCAATATTGAGCATATTAGTTACGTAAGTTTATGTATGTCAATGTCTACTTATGTAGGTGCATATGTATAATATTCATAGTATTGGGGTTAGACGATAGAAAAAAATGATTAAATAGATATTTAGTGTGTTAAGACATAACGTGAAACTTCTCCATAAGTAAATAGATATTCGTGTAACCAAAAATTTACACAATTTAAAGAAATTTTTGTCCACAAATCCCGATCCCAAATGGAATTCCAAACAATTAAGAAATTAGAAGCCTTAAACGCATGAATTTTTTATGGTCTGCAATCTCTTTGAAAACTTAAAGGAATTATAAATTGCATAAAGTTTTTTGAAGTTATTCACCGAACAAGGACTGATAGCCGATTAAAAGCGATGAGTCCAGATGTTGAAGAAAATTTTTTATTTGCTTGCTTGAAGAATTGACATTCAATTGTTTGCAAATTAATTTACTGCAGAAGATGTGTAAGCGTGTATTTCGTTGTAATTTCATAATTTGATGAAAAAGCTCGATATATGTATTTACCACTTTGCTAATGATGAAGATTAAACTGACTATTTTAAAATAAAATATTTCTTGTTCTCGTGCGCATAAGTTGCTTAATTGTTAATTAATTAATTAAATAACTACTGCCTAATTTAATACGCATTTGCATGCATTGACCGCAGAAATGTGGACAATATTCCCCCGATCATTCAATGTTCTCATCATCTGCCCATATAATATAAACCCCTCCCTCCCCTGTCCCACAATATTAATCTCCCCCACATGCCCCCCACAGCTTTCGCGGCCAATGCGCATATAATATGTTTGCACAAACAAAAATACATTCCACAAGAAATATGCAATAAATATAGTATAGCAACATTGTAGATAATAACAATTTGCGTACAATTTAGAATTATGTATGTGCGTTTATGTAATTCTGCTCATCTGACGTAATATTATTCTAAAATCATACAATTATTAATAACTAGCGGGATAATTGCTAAATCGCTTTATAATTGATCAATAATAAATTTATTGTTAATTCCTAATTCATTTTTTTATGTTTTTGATCCTATCTATTTTGCACATGGGTGACTACGAACATTGTTGCTGCGATATATTTTTAAGTTTAGTAATTCTATGCATCTGTATTATTATTTTTTAATTGCTTTATTTCTACTCACGTGACGTAAATATGATTTTGAAATTGGGCACTAACTTGCAGCTAAGTAAGCATAATCTTGTGCCCAGAATAGGCAACTCTATTAATAATTTTTATTCCTAATTTCTAATTTTTTATTTGGTTTTATTGTTTTTATTATTTAACAAAAATCTAACCCTTTGTACATGGGTGACTAAGAGCATTGTTGTTGTGATATATTTTTTTTAGTGTAGCAACTCTATGCATATGGCGTTATTTTATTGTTTTTTAATTGTCGTCTCTCTACTCACGTGACACAATATGATTCTTCGTTAATTGTGCATTGACTTGCAGCCAAGCATAATCTTGTGCCCCAAATTTTTGAGCCTGCTAATGCGGATAAGCATTAACAATTGTTATTCCTAATTACTAGTTAATTTTTTATTTGATTTTTGTATTTTTAACCTAGCCCTTTGCATATAGGTGACTACGAACATTGTTGCTGGGAAATATGAATACCTACATATATTTTTGAATTCTCCTCGTTTAGGTACATTTTCCACTAATAAATTCCATTATGCAATTATGTATGTACATATATTTATGTACATTCGTCGTATCTTAAAGTGTTATCCATTACTCTCTTCCTTTTTTTATCTCCTAATACTTATGTACATTTGCTAAATTAATGGGAAAAATAAAAGGGGTCCCAAAAACGATAGGGTGAACAGGAGTATCAAAAAATATTTTAGACCCAACCAAATTCATAAAATCCGAGAGCATTCTCCCTAATAATAGGTCAAAATAATTATAGGAAATTGCAAGAAATCTGATATTTTAGTGAGTAAAACTGCAAGAGGTTAAATCTCGCGACATGGTGCTCTTGGATTATTTAACATACTTTGATAAGCCCTGCTCATAGCTACCTTAACCTAATACAACATCTCGTGGGTCGACTTTAAAGTCGAAACTCGACTTCAAAATTATGGTTGTCAAAACTTACGTTCGCACATGTAAATATGTACCTATGTATGTTGAGAATATTAAGGAGTTCCAACTTAGTAAAAAATCGATTTTTTCGTTCTTTTACAAAAGGCTTTTTTCCTCAACTCCGCGTGCGATTTCGAAATTTTTTCCAATATTTTTGCTTTAAAATAAAATCAGGGTTAAGATAATTTTATTTTTGAATAATAAAAAAAGAATGACATCGCATACGGAGTCGAGAAAAAAGTGTTTTGAGAAAAGATCTAAAAAAGCGATTATTTTACAAAGTTGGGAGTCTCTATGGTGGATAATTTGGCATTATTGTACGGCTCCATAATCTCCGCTACCTCATCGCAGGTGAATGAAGAAAGTATGTGCACTTGTACTGATGTTGAGTGGGATTCTGGCACGGACAAAAAGTCTTGTTTTCATGTGAATCGAGCGTGCACGCGCTCTTCCCCACTTTTGCACTGATTCATGTGAAAATTTTAACTTTGTCCTAGAGATGCAAAATTTGGCATGCACATGTACCAAGATATGCTGCATCAAAATATAACATCAATTCCCGTTCCGTTCGCTGTAAATTTTTCAGGAAAAACCTAAAACCAAATGTCACCCATATTCCACTTGGTTTTTGATTTTCCCTGAAAAATTTATAGCGAACGGAACGGGAATTGATGTTATATTATGATGCAGCATATGTTTGTGCATGTGCATGCCAAATTTCGCATCTCTAGGAGAAAGTTTAAAATTTCACATGGATCAGTGCAAAAGTAGGGAAGAGCGCGTGCACGCTCGATTCACATGAAAACAGGACTTTTTGTCCGTGCCAAAATCCCACTCAACATCGGTACAACTGCGTCATATCCTATCCGTTGTAGAACAATAGCATATTGTGTTATTGTGTCGGTGCCGTTATTGCAGTCGCTTCGGAACTGTGGAGACACCGTTAGGAGGGTAAGATTTTAAAATACAAAGTGTACGGGCTGAATACAATTGTGCCCAAAATCTCTAGTTGGACATGGTACTTTTGTTGGCATTTTCTCCACGGTTCCACCGCCACTGATTCCAAAACTACTAATTAAACTTGTATCAATTGTATGTACATAAGCAACTTTGTAGCGTGCACACATTTTGTGTAAAATATTTTTAAATTGTGTTTCGTGCACTTATGTATTTACAATATGATTGGAATTGTTTTCGAGCGTTGCCAAGGTTATGTTTACAATATGATCGTTCTTCGAGAAATGGTGCAGGTTTTTGTATTTAAAAAAATCTCGCTGACCTCTTCGGGAGAATTGATCGTCTCGAAAATTAGACGATAAATCCGGGAAGATTTTCCAGCGGATGCTCGGGTGGGGATGGATTTCCTGGTTGGCCACTAATGACAATTGGAGGCTCGACAGTTTCTTGGGGTTCCAGAGGCTCGACATCAATTGTAAGCTGCTCAACAATTTCTTGGACGTCCAAATGGTCAACATTAATTACGGGTAGGTCAATAATTTCTTGGGGAGGTGGGGCACGCAATGTAAAGCGTGGAATACGGCTGGGCCAGGTAACTGAAATGATTCAAAATATTTGTGATATTTGTCAGCTTTGCTCACCACATTGTTTTGAATAAGATGCTTACATTCCATTTGGCTGATACTCGTCCTAATCTTGTGCTGAGCCATAATTAGAGCTGCGATGACGACAATTGCTTCGATGATGTCCAGCAAGGTCAGGCCAGTGATCATGGAAATCGTTCCGCCCACAAGACCTGTTTCGAATTTCGGACTTACCATTACAGAAAAATACAAAAATAATGCACGTAAAATTAGTGGCATTTACCAACTTCCTCAAAGGTGCTGTATCTTGCACTTCTTCGTGACGCTTGGACGGAGTCCATTTCAAAGTAGACGTAGACGATGGAGAACGTCTCATTGTTACTACGGTATTAAAAAAGTATATTTACCTGTGTGTGTACCCATGCAGTGAAATTTGTCAGGAACGAATTGGTAAATTTATGTCAATATGTACAGAAAGTACGAACTACGTGGCGTTTTGAAATTTAAGCTTTTTAATTTCAAGGTAACGTTATTCTTAACGGGTTATGCGGATAGTGGGATTAGCGGTCCAGCACAACAATTAACGGTTGGACCTATTACTACATTTAATTAATTTAAAGTGATTTTGCTTACATCAATTGCTCCTTGTATTTGTTCCTGTACAACGCCATGTGTTTTTGCGTTAATGGACTCCAAGTGACAGACGTGGTGTACTTGGTTTGTCGACAACTAGGTCGACATTTCTTACAAGAATCTTGTATGCCTTCGTCATACATCTCCTCTGGGAACAAATATATTGACTTGGTAATTCATTTGTCATATTTTAATTACGTGTTACTAAGGCGGCCTTACTTTCTTTTTGTATTGCACATTTCGTCGAGTGATATGTATCGCACAATGCTCGTTTTGGGTCACCTATTGTATGAATCATGCATTTTTTGAATAACAATTTGAACTGTATTGTTTACCTGGGTTTACAATTCCTTTACAATGACACTTTGCGTCGACGGCATCAGCAATGCATTCTTGGAAACAATTTTGCTTAGTATATTTCTCATAATACTTCAAGTTGGCGCCTGCTTTGTCATCACTAAAAAAGCAACCACGCTCATCCTGGCCAAGTGTTTCAAAGTTATTATTATTATCGTGTATGCATTGCAGGCAATCTTTTATGGATTAGAACATACCAATGGCATCTTTTTAATATCACCATCCGCCAATAGTAGAATTGGATTGATTGAAATAAATACTTCATGTCCGAAGGGCATGGATTTCCCGAAAGGCTTAATTTTAGGCTCGTCAGACGGATGAGCAACGGCGAGCTTGATATATTTTGAGAATTGCTAATACACTAGAAGTTTTTAATTATCCAACAGCCTATAGAATTAACCTAGACATACCATGAACCCTTTTCCCTCGCCATGGACACATCCTTTATCAAGTATTTCATCTTTTATGATAAACGATAAACCTGACGTTTTTCCAGCAGAGGTTTGTCTCCAAGGGGTACGAACTGGGCCTATTATTTTCGGTTTTGCTTGCCCAATATCTTGGTCTAATTTAGCCTCCTTCCATGCTTCAAGCTCGTTGGGGGTATATTCCTCTTCGCTAATGACTGTCTGCATGGTTTGGAATCTGTAAATTGATGTTGAAGATTGTTCTTAGGCCTTCGAGGAAAAATGGATGGTTGCTAGTTCCAAGAGATACAACGGAACAAAATTTATTGAAGACATTTAATTCAAGACAGGAATGTTTAACGTGAAATTGGATTAGTGGAAGCAAAATAAAGAATCCTAAGTGTATTAACCTGAATGTAATGGAACTTACCGTCTGCTAACTAGCCCTGGGATGCCGTTGAACATGCACGTGCTACCCCACTCGGAGAAGCGTTTCTTGAACAATAATGCGCAAGGGATAGATATTTCATTAAGAAAACACCCCGCGATTACGTCAGAGCAATTATAAGTTGCCTATAAATTAAAACCCAGCATGTATACAAATATTCACCAACATATTTGGTGGACTTTACTTTTTTAAGGAACGGAATAATTTTCTCTGTCATTATCTGGGATGTTGGATCGTCCATGAGATTGTAGCTCTTGCTGTTTACATATAAATGAGTGTTACCATTATCATCATTTTCGACGTTGTTCAATCCCGCGTAAGTAGTTTGATAGGAACAAGCTTGATCAATAACTTGTTGAAGCGCGCCGGTGTCATTTCTGTTCCATAAAACTCCATCCTCGGTTTTCACATTAGCAGAAAATCTGGCGTCCACATCATTACTAGAAAAAAATACAACCGTAAAGTATATGTACATTAAGCAATCAAAACCTTGTGGGACATATGGGTGGAAAAGTTTTGATAAGGTTGCAGGTTCATGTTAACCCTATAAAGCAATTTAAACTCGCAACCAAAGTATCAATGCAAAATATGGACCCTTACTCATGTGCTTGTAATATGGAAGTGAGCTTCAAGCCACCAAGATGACTAACGGTTACTTGTGGGAAGTCGATATTCGTGATTCCAACTTCTTCTGTTTCCGTTGACACGACTAGTGGATGCCCCATGGTTCTCTTTATGCCCTCTTTTATAATGAGGTACACAATGATGCAACAAAGCAAAACCACAATGAACCAAAAGGCCCTGAAAGAAAGGAAGAATGTCATAAATACATTTTATGACAACAATTAGATCATTAAGACGTCGACATTCGAATAAAGTTTCCATTCTAACTTTGCTATTAGCCTGAATTTCTGTCCAACAAAACTGATCGCCATTCAGTAAATTAATTTTTCTCAAACGGACTCAGGTAATTGGATGTATATAAATTCTAATAATTGGAATTAATTCGACAGATTTCAGAATTAATACGATAAGTACTTTTATAATATTTATTATGTGGTCAAGCTGACGGATTACAGGAAGATGAGAAATCTTCAAATACTCGCCATCGTCACTATCTTTATCGGCACGTCCTTTGCTGGGTATGCCCCGTCGAAAGAAGATCTGGATTCCATGGATAGAGTCAGGACACGTGAATCTGTGGGGGAGTGCATGTGTCCGCCCAACATTAATACTACAGGCACCTGGGTCGAATTTTGCGGCCAAGAGTTAGCTCAGCCTAAAAAATGTTCCCCACAGAGCGTGTACAGGTGTGTCAACATGCGAAAAATAGCAATTGAGACCTATAGACGTTGTGAAAAATGGGCAGAAATATGTCAACCACAGACCTCTATAAATGGTGGACCGTGTCCCTTTTGCAAACCGCATGCATTAAAAGAATGCGTAAAATTGAGTATTTAGCTAATACTAAAGGTATGTATAGTGGGCGCAATTGATAATATGCAACATTTGCCTTGTAGGTGAAATAATATAAAATCACTAAATTAATAAATTCTATCACCTCTGTTCGTACATATTCATTTACTTAATCAAGAGTGGATAAATTAATCATTCATTATTCGACAAATTCATGAGTAATGAGTGAATAATTTTTGTAAAATGTTGGAATGTCGGAATACCGTGTAAACCTTTGTACATTTGATGATTAAGAAGAATGAATAAATAATTTTAGGCATTATCCTATTTTTCACGCCCGCTTGTTCATATTGCGAAATCCACATAAAGTTTACTTAAGATAAAATGAATACCGAATTATTAATTGTTAGTAAATTTTCCCAATGAATTATGAATAATTTTTTCCAATTTTCAAAATTGCAAGAATTTTGAATGAAGGACCTTTTTTTTGAACACGAATAAATGCAATATGGTTAATCGCACATTTTTCGGAATTTTTGTTACTCGCCCATTTCACATTAAATGACGAAAGCTAAAAAATCACATCTTGGGGTTTTGAGACTCAACAAAAATGAGATTAGTTAAAACCTAAACACGGGAGGGCTCTAAAGTTCCATTAATTGTGACCTGCTCCCGGCATTCGAATTTATAATTCATGAATAATTTTTTTAGAAGCTTAAAATTACCTCATCAAGGGATGTAGTCCTGGTTTCACAGCTTGTCTAAAACCGGGCAATTTTTCGAAGACTTGAACCCATCCGGAATCTGGTGATGGTTGCAATGACATCCACTTTGTCCACTTGTTTCGTACATTTTCATATTGTTCGTTTGCAATGTAAAGTAGCATCCGCTGGAAACCAGGATGAGGCGGACGGACGATTTCTTGGTCGGGCCCGTGTGGTGGGATGGGGCGCATCTCAATCTCCATGGCAACTAAACGCGCCTAAAGCCGAGTGCTATTGTTCACTTCCAAGAGTCCCTTAAATTGTCGAGAGACAAAATTCGCGTCAAACAATTCAGTGTTCAGAATTGTAGGATTTTTGAACTGTTTGCGATTATAAATATGAAATGCCAGGAGGGGCTTGACAAATATTTAATAAAATCACATAAGTTTTTTTAAAAACCTTTACAGCTTGTGCAGATTCAAAATTTGAGTTTATTACAATTAAGAAATTAATTTTTTGAACGATTTCAAATACAATAATTTATGATTTATGAAGTTTTTTACACTTTCTCCGATGGTCTTATAATTTGTTAAGGCTTTCTGCAGATTAAAAATTTGTACTTCAGTCAACTTAAAAAATTATGAAAGATAGCAAAAATAAGTGACATATGCATATGCAAAAGTTTTGAGGAAAGGAATGTTCATGTTTATGGTGGACAGTGGGCATGGGAACCAAGGTGTGGCGGTGTGACGCATTGGTCTGATGACCACGTATAATAAAAAACAAAGAAAAGATTTGAAAATACATCGGTATTTGATATTCGGCTATATATACATACGTATGTATGAAAAGGTGAGAGATACGAAGAAAGCACGGCACGGGCCCCGGAGCTAATTACAGGCGAAAGCTGAATGTGTCGGTTGATGCCCATTGTCTTTCTCGGAAGCCTTTGTTCATCCAATTGTGTATGCGATACAGGAAGAAATATGCATGGGCTCGGTAACGTGGAATTTTCTAAATTGTGTTTAAAAACTTTGCTTTTATAACTTTAATTTAATAACAAATTGGTTCTCAGGTGAAATAATTAGCAAGTTGTGCTACAAAATTAGTAATTACACATCTATTAGTCCTATGTCGACATGTTAACTCGGAAACACTCGATAAAATTTTTACATTTCTACATAGTTATGGAAATTTAAACGAGTATTTACATCATGCAAATTACGTGTACATATTCTTTAGTTCTCAAGTAATTAATACAAGGTAGAGGTATGTACATAATTATGTATATGAGAGATTTATGCATGTACATATTTCCCACTAAATATTCTAATCTATTAGATTACAATTTGTGCAATTTTATTCACATAAAGAATCCGTAAAATAAATAATATTAAGCATGCATCACCAGTTTTTTGTGATCGACTTGCATTCAACTATTTACGAATTTTGGGAGATTGTATGTATCTGTGCAGAAATATCGTTAAAACTTAGCTCATAATTCGAAGAGAAATAATTCCTAGAATAATTTTGAACCAGTGTTTATCCACACTTTCGAATTGTAAAGCCAAATTGTTAAATAATGAAACATAAATCAGTATGTTTAATTAAAAAAACACGACCCTAAAAATGGAAGTTAATTTATAGATGCAAAATAAGCTAAAATAACAAAAGCAAATTAGCCATTTGGATAATGCAAAACTGCTACAACGTCGTAACCAATTCGTGCTGCCCGCGTAAATCTGGCCGGCCAGGGAAAACAGGAGAACATTTAATAACGAGACTAGTGGAGCTTCCATAGCGATAAAGGCGAATTGTAAATGGTTCATCCCATCGCGCAAGCGGACACACGCGAACCCCCCCAAAATTTGTATAATAGGGCAAACTGAGAAAAGAAGAGGCAAACTGCGACCTTGGACGCATGAGTTGAACAGCTTCTCAAAAACCTGGAGCTCTCGATACCTGTCATAGATTTGTTAATTAAAAGCAAACTTAATTAAAAAATTATTCATTCATTATTCATTTTTATAAATTTTATCTCAAATACGCCATATTACGTAGGGTTTTAAATTAACATCACGTTTTAAGCATGGCCTGAAGAATGGGCAATGAATACAACTATTCATTTATTTATTCTTCACGAATGGGAAACAAGTGCGTGTTTATTCAATATTCCTCCATTCAACAGTTTTGAAAAAAAGTATTCACCAATTATTAACAAATTGATTGAGTAATGAATGAACTGAACAATTTATCCATTCTCCATTTAATAAATGAATGTGAAAAGGTACATACATATGCATCTTACCTTTGCGAAAATTTTGGTGGAAGTTTTGAAGAAATAAACCATAGTTGCACCATACCGCTGAATGCAATTGAAAGTGCAAATATTCCCGCGACTAAGGCCATGTAGTGTAGCGTGGCGTATTCAAGGGTGGCCAGGGTCATGCGCACAAGTACAGATGGAGCCTGACAAGATCTCACTGACAGAAAGATTGACCCTAAAAAAGGTTGTTGACATGGGATGAAGAAGACAATAGTCGCAATAATGGCGGGTAGTACAAAATATCCAATGTTCGAGAAGGAAAACAAGAAGCGAGCACTGATATTGACCAGAAGTTGTGCCGGGTTTAACGAATCTGCTAAATATTTGCGAAATTAGTTGAAATTCATTCTTATCTTTTTATATAAATCTGATTCCGATTGCGTCAATTTTCGAAAAATTATTTAGTCTTCGATTTTCACGTTAGCAACTGAATTAAAAACAAATCGTGAATTTAATAGTCATACCAAATTTATAGTACAACAAGATTTATCATTAACGATAAATATTACAGAACACTAATTTCCTATATGAAAAATATTAAAGTATGTCTCAATTTTTTCAATTAAAAATCCGTATCCGGCTTTCGAATATGATGATCAATTCGATCGGGTCAGATTTAAAAAATGGAACACCGATTAATAACCTCGTTAGAAAAAAAGTGTCTTACACCGTACCTTTTTCCCCTTCTCGAACCATTCTAGGCTTAATTAGGACATTTAACAACTGCGGGATTCCTGGATCGGGTTCCCAGTACAGCGTAACCACGAGTGCGCCGACATATATCAAGTTGAAAAGGGCAGATATTAGTTTCACTGAACGATTTGAGGTACGATTGTGCCAAAGAATTCCGTAAGTTTGAAGAAAAACGTAAATCAAATATGCACCGAGACTGAGACGGTGTAACCACGCGGATCTTCGTTTTCGGGTGGTTACGATTTTCTTCTCTTTATCAAAGGTGAATGACAACCAGTAAAATCGGTCGGCATAAGAGAAAGTTCGTCTTAAAAATAGGAGCAAAGATTTGGACAGCATTTCGATAACCAAAAGCACACCACATAATGGCAAAATTTAGGTTTCACCGCTGCATATTTATGTGATATCGAATACTTCAAATATGTATCTTTGTCTGTAGGAAAATTCGGACAGGAAATGGGTTGCCGGGATGTGTAGCGTCCTGTTCGCTTAGATAAACATAAATTTAATTAGGTATTTATGATTAATCGAACAAGTTAACTTGTACATATGCTTGTATATGATTTTACCTTCATGAGCCGTAAGCAGCCTCAAAACGAGAGTGGTAGATTCATTCAATAATCCATTTATTCATCCATTCATTCATTAATTAATTAAACGAACAATCTGATATTGTATCCAAGCAGTAAATAAATAAGGATCCGACTATGGATAATACATAGGATATTGTAACGGATATTGTACCGTATTTGCACGATTTTACATATTTAAACGATGTGCACACATGAACCTAAATATGTGGACATGAACCTAAATATTATACGCGTGAAAGCGTTTGTATTTAATAGCTACTTGCATTAAATAATCATATTTAGTTTCTGGACAATCTGTGTCCACATATTACTGGCTTCACGATGACCTTACCGTATTTCGAATATTCAAAGAAATTTGCACATATTGTATGACAAATTTTGATGACAAATTTCTAGTAAGGATTTGAATATTTAACATAGTCTAATTTATATAGAATTCAAATAGTATATTTATTTTTTCAAAACCGTAGCATAATTTCTGACAAATTTGTTCAAGTGCGCTTCATGTTTATTTACTTATTTCAAAGCAATGGAAAAATTATAAAAAATAGCTTTGCCCAGAAAAGTTTGGAAATGGATGTATGGTGTGAAAAATACGAATAATGCTAAATGTACTTGGACATAAAAAAAAGTACATTGAAATTACTGATTAGTTGGATTTGGGAGTCCCTGAATCAGAATTTTGATCGTTCTTCTCCGCGGCATCATTTTCCGATGCGGCATCTATTTAAAATGAAACGTTGCAAATTATTCATTTTTCAATTTGCTTAATTGTTACAGTTTCTAGCTTAAACCAACAACTTCATCTAAAATTGTGTTACCGTTAGCATCATGGAAAGTATTTTCTTCCTCGTTGTCCTCTATCATATCGACATCGGGTAAGGCTGGAGCGAGGACAATGTACTCTGAAAAATAGCAATATATAAAATAAATATTACCTATTAAAAGAATCAAAATTATTATTGGACATTTAAATGGAATAACTTGGTCCTAGATTTTAAATTCTAATCTAAATACCCGAACGCAATACTTTTACTGATATACAAAACCAACTAAAATGACATCAATTTCATGAGCTTTGAGATTAATGCAAATTTTCATACATTAATGTGAAATTGATTTTTTTGGTACATGTTGTACCACAAAAGCGTCATTGCCTTAGTAAAAAAAAGTGTCAATTCATTTGGAAATTATTTTCACGATATATGCCCTCAAAAATTAATTCAGGGATTTTTCCAATCGATACTTTTGTAGTACAGATACACATTCAAACATGAAAAGTTGTACATATTTAGGCAGTATCTCAAATCTCGAAATGAAATTGAAGCGATATTAGAAATTTGCATTTAAAGGCTGTGAGAGATTATTATCACATGAGACAAAAATCGGTGCATAAGGATTATAATGACTAAAGTAATCGATGTATGTACATGTATGTATGCATGTACATAAGTACACGTATGTAGGTACATGATGGCATTCAAAATTACAGGTAGTGTTTGTAGCCAAATTTGATTTCTATCGGTGCCAATTAAATGTTTCTACGATTCTCGAAAACAAACTTGGCTCCGATAAAGAGTCAATTTCGGTAGAAAATCCTGTGTTTTTTGTGACCGTTGTACTTTCCGTATACATACATATATACATAGATTACTTTAGTTAATCGTTACCGATTTTTTCTCATGTGATAATATTTAATCTCGTAAAAGCCTAGAATTTTCTATGACCGCTGTACATAGATACATATGTACATATTATCTACGTATGTATGTACATATGTATGTAGACACTCGACTTTATGTAGCTGTTAAGGCCCTGAAAATCCAATTCATCAAATCAAAACTACTTTAATTTGACAAAGTAATTTGACCATTAGTTTAAATAAAATAATATATTGCAATGAGAATATACATAGGTATGTAAATACGTAAATATGTGAATCTTCTTGATTTTTTGCAGTGCATGCAAATGTGCAATAAAAATCTGCTTACCGTCCTGCTCCTCCTCCTCCTCTTCCAACATGTGCTCCAATTCCATTAATAAATCTTCATAAATGAATTGTAAAAGTGATTCTGCTTCCTCTTCAGCCGATTCATTAACTTGGAGCTCTACTGCCATGTCTTGCGAATTGCGTAATTAAGTCTAATATATTTCAAATAGTGATCTGATCCTGTCCCCGTCTTGTCCAGAACTGTACTGGAGTAGTCAAGATGCGAAAAATATCCTTGCTTAAGGGAATTTGCATGAAATGCTATAAACCTTCATGAACAAGGTAAGTGATCTTAATAAATGTTTACATTAGGAAAAATGCGGACATGGCGTAATTAGTTTTTAAGCAGTGCGACATATTCTTTCGGCTAATTGTAAGAATCAGTAAGTGAAACATGACCTCTGCTTACATACATATGTACATATTTACACTCTGAATAATTTGGAGACAATTCGTAACCCGCAGTGCTCCATTTCTGGGTAATGATTAAGACATTTTGTCACCAAAGGGAAATAAGTAAAAAAAAAAAACATGTATACATGCTTTTTTACTTATTTCCCTTTTCTTATTTCCTTTTACTTATTTCCCTTATTTCCCTACAGCTTATTGGTATACCAATAAGCTGTTATTTAAAAAGTTCGTACTTTAATTCAAAAAAATCTTATATTCACATACTAAAAATCTTATGATGATTTTTCTCGAAATTATTTAGTGTGCATCTGCATAAGTTGTGAATCTGTGTGACTGTGTGAATACAATTTCGTCTCCAATGCGACACTTGATCCTTTGTGGGACCTTACTTACTATGTATGCATTTTGCTGGCTTGACCATAACTGATTCGACCATGCACAATTACTGGTGCAACATTACTCCTTTATCTTAATAAATACGTATCAAGCTAAACTTCGAGTTAATAGGCTAACTCACGACAAAAATGAAATGTGTGCATACACTAATCTTAATTTGCGAAAATGTGCATCTATATGTTCTGATTTGAATAAATGCATAGGTACATATGTACCGCGTCAGATATTTTTCTGCCAATGTATTGAATATGTACATAGATTTTGCTCAAAAAACTTACCAATCAATATTGTGAACACACCCAAAATATAGATACATGACTGGCTCTAGCGGCATGATAATAACGGGTATTACGTATTATACCTTCTAATTATATAATTCTGTGGTATAATTTCCCTCCGTTTTGGTTGGGATGTGTGTCAACCCCACAATCACGCACCACCGAGTTGGTGGTGGGTTATTTTTCAGCGGTGTCACCGAGCGGTGATGTATGATCACCCCTCCGGTTTGGTCACCGCCTGGTGATAAAATTCCTGTCTTTAAATTAAAATGTAGAGTGTTTTAATTTACGTCTTAATTAAGTGTCCGTTGATTACAGGTTTTGGGTTTGAATTGTCGTGTCTCAGCTTTCCCTTCTTCCATATATTCAAATGGCGATTTTGAAACGTATTCACCTCCGTGGGTTTCTTACAATATGAAGATTTTACAAAGTTGGAGTCTAGAATTTTGACTTTTTTCTTAGTTCTTGAAAGTTCTCGGAAGCTTTCAAAATTTTGGAAAATTGTTCTGAAATAATTTTCCGGAAATATGGTCTACCTATTAATTGTATGAAATTTTTCGGGCAAGTATGATTTGGCCGAACACATAACGAATCGCGCCTCGGTTTCGCATGTTGGAATTATCAGAAAATGAAGAAAGCTATATAAAAATAGAAAAGTGCTTGTTTTCCCCGAATAACTTTTTTTTAGCGGATGAACGAAAATTCCAAATAATTGTTCCCGGATTGATTTTAACTTCTCATGGGTAAATCTTGGTTTATCCCACACTGAATTTTTTTTCGGAAATGAATTTGTGGTATGTCATTACCAGGTAGTTTATCTACATATTAATTTAAAAAATTATTACGCGAAAATCATTTCAACTTTTTTTTAAAATATGGATTTCAATTCATAGTTTTGCCTCTGCCAGGTAACTGTGTGCTTAAGTGTATATATTTTAAACCTTAACAATTTTTCAATTGTGACTTAAAATTTCAAAAAGCCCAAAGTAATGGTCATTTATTTAAAACTGCGAAAAAATATCTGAAAGGTTGTACGTCCTAGTTATCTTTATTGGATAACCCAGAGTCCAAAATTACTGAAACATCTGGAGAGTCATGCCGCTTATGCACTCTAAATAAAATCATTACCAAATCATTACCAAAATGCACACGTATATGACTCTGCAGAAACGGTAATAATAACCACCAGCTGGTTAAGAAATTGATTGAACCCGAAGTGGTAATAAAGAACACTTTTTGGGATAAAATTAATACCATGATGTATGAGAGATGCACTACAATGTATAGTAAAATGTCTACCGCCTGGTAATAAACCATACCACTTTGTGCACGGCGTGCTATTCATACCGGTATTAATGCTTTTTATTATGTATACCCCATTATTACCAAATGTTGTGCAGATTTCCACCGAAAAAAAATAGATTTTTTGTTTTTCTTTACAATAATCTTTCAATCAATTATATTTATTGTAAAACAATGAGACATAATCACATAATTATAAAATTTAAGTATAATGCAAACTATGCAGTTACATACATACAGATGTATTTATACATATTAACATGAAACTTAAATCGAACTAAATATTTTATAGTTTTGCCGTACACTTACCTTAAATTTTTGTTTCACTGAAAAACTAAACACAAAAGATTATTATTTTTATTATTTACTTGTTCCTATTAAGATGGTGCTCGATCACCATCTTGATAACTTATCAATGATAGGGCACCAACATATGATAATTTGATTTGATAATTACCTGATTCCAAAAATTCTATATAATTTCTATGAGTTTTTATCAGTTATTTTCCACGGGCATAATTGGATTAATTTCGCCGTGTCGACTTGAGTTGAGCTGAGCGGAAACTAAAACTGACAAATGCGCACTGTTTAGCGTCTCACATTTCACACTAAATGTATTAAAATTCTTACCTATATGGTAATAAACTACACCAAAATGTAGATCTCATCGGCACCACAACGGAAACAATTTGTACTACACTTTATTAAAATTATGGTAAAGAGTGTTATCCAAATTTGTAGGGTATAATTACCGACTCGTAGGAATTTATTACCAAAATCATATAGATAACTTAAAACATTGCGGTGGAAGGCTAGTTACTGGTTTGGTATTGATACGGTAATAACCCCGTATAATTTTTGTAGGACGCGTAATTACCAAGAGCTCGGTAAAGACGTTTATTAGGAATTCTTTACCAAGTTGCACACTTACATGTACACTCTAAGAAATTTTATCACCAGCGCGGTGGTCATATGTGACTCTACCGGCAGGTGGCAGAAGACCACCGGAGGGTAGATGCCCATCACCAGCTTAGTGATGATCAGTCACTGTGCGGTGGTGCAGTTGTCACCGTTCGGTGGTTACAGCTGTCACCATTCCGGTAGAGTCACATATGACCACCGCGCGGTGATCGTTATCACCAGGTTTCTTAGAGTGTAAGTGTGTAACAAAAGTTCGATATTTGTGTGAAGGGCATGTCTATCTGCGTCTCGTCGCCATAACCTAAGCAATAATGTCAATTCCACAATAACGCCGTAATAACGTGATAACGCCAGACGGCGTAATCCCACTGATAAGATTGTGTAATTACCAAACTTGTCGCGTAACTGTTTTTAAAGATAAAACTGCTATGTATTTATTCACTCTTGGGTTTAGAAAGAACGATTTTATTCAGTGAAAAGAACAGTCCCGTGTTTTTGCGTGCTACTGTAATTCAGGACAGCTGGATCCTTCCATAATACAGGGAAGTCAAAGCAGCCGAAAATTTTAGAATCTAAATCCAAGCAATCATTAACAAAGTAATTGGTATTTATTTTCTGTAAAAAACAGAAATAAATCAAATAACAATAATTTTGCGCAGATTTTAATTACCACATGGCTGAAAGTGGAAAACCGGATCCCACCTGTCTTTATGAAGGAATACTTCTAAAACACTCGACTATCGGTTACAAAAAAAGATATGTTAAAATACAAAACTCTGAAATTATCTATTTTACCGCAGACAGAAAAATCGAAAAGGGTCGACTACTATTTTTTGAGACGATTTTAGTCCTTGACGAATGACTGCGTCATTCTGGCAGATGGGAGAGACCGATACTATTTAAAGGCTGAGGCAGTGTTGCTTAATTACTTGAATTTGTAATTAATTACTAATTACTTAATTACATTTGACGAGAGAAACTAATTAATTACTCAATTACTAATTACATCAGTCAAGTAATTAATTACAATTACAATTACTTCCGTCGAAAGTAATTAATTACTTAATTACAAATTAATTACATTTTTTATATAATCATGACGGCACAATTTTAAAAGTATGGTATAGTCACGCAGGTATTAATTTCCTGGTGTCAAAGTTGCTACCGCTTGGTCTTAAAAGTATACCGGTCGACACCGGTCTATTTTTATCCGATCGGTAAAAATTTGTTACCGATATGGTAAAACTTTAATACCGAGGTATTACTACACTGCATTACTAACCACTACCACTTTGGTAGAGTCACATATGAATACCGCTTGGTAATATTTTAATGCTATATTTCTAAGAGCGGCAATATACTAAAGAACTGCAATTAACCTTTTAAAATTAATCTAATCCTAAGTATATATATTCCAACAAATCAAATTACAACAAAATGATTAATTGATACCGGGAGAATAATTAACGCAAAATTAATCTTCACGATCGTCTAAAAATGATCTTGCAAATCACGATTTTGCTAATATGCATTCTAATTCCAAGCAATCAAGTAATTAATTACTCAAAGTAATTAATTACTTTGTTACTCAATTGAAGCGAAGTAATTAATTACTAATTAAAATTACATTGCCACAAAGTAATTAAAGTCTAATTACTAATTACTTTCTCAATTTTTCTTGTAATTAATTACGTAATTAATTACTACAACACTGGGCTGAGGATAGTGCTAGCCTAAATGAGAGATCTGGGTGGTTAGCCGTACTTGGGGAAAAATGCAAACGCGGGAATATGGAGGATATAAAAAAGTTAGAGAAATATGGCGAGCCAATTCCAATCTTGTCGTTCCCATCTTTTCCTTCCGGTCTGGAAGATCAGTCATCGAACCGTTCGACACAATGGAAAATTATGATGGACGTGCTGCCAAAGATTGGAGAAGCGGCAAGTTTTATCCACCTAATTGCAGGTATACATGTTCAAGAAATATTTATTCATTCAAAGTTTAAAAAAATATTAATTCCTTATTCACCCATTCATAATTTGTAGAAAAATGTTCCTTAATTATTCAACATTTATTCATTATTAATTTCACTCACTATAAATTCACAGTATTACATGAATTTCTCAACTTTCCCTATGTATTAAGCATTGAGTTAAAAATGAATGAAGAAACATATATTGATTCATTATTCATTCACACTAATTGAATAGATATTCACTCAATATTAATTGATTCATAAATCAGAATAAAATGTTCATTCAAATTTTGAACATTGAATGAATAATTTATTCATTCAAATTTTGAACATTGAATGAATAATTTATTCATTCAAATTTTGAACATTGAATGAATAATTTATTCATTCAAATTTTGAACATTGAATGAATAATTTATTCATTCAAATTTTGAACATTGAATGAATAATTTATTCATTCAAATTTTGAACATTGAATGAATAATTTACTCATTCATCATTAAATGAATGAATATATATGAACATGATTGATTTCAGGGATATTGATCAACGCGGCGGCTGAAACATCGGCTTTCTTCGTTGAAGCGAACGACACGATGGTAGAGATTAAGGCGCTGGAGGGAAAAATTGAACGGAAGCGGGTTACCGATTGGATGGAGTATATCAAAGTCTCTGTTGTTTCCGCGACAGAAGAATTCCAGCAAATGCTAGACCTGAAATGTTGCGGAGAGTATAAACGATCCACGATAATGTCGTGCAAATCCAAGCTACACGAAATTTACGGCAGATTTACCAGTATGAGCATTTACTCTGAGAACAAGTTAATCTTTGCGCCATACTTTGTCGAATTTGCGAGTTTTTACATCAAATTTATCAGGACTTCAGTATTGGTTATGCCGGAATTATTGGGTGAGCTGGTTGAGAAGTTAGAAAAGTTGAAGGAATGTATTACCGATTATAGGGAATCAGCTGTATCTGAACGAATTGCGGCTGTTAGCCATACGCGTGATGATATCCGCGAGATAATGTTGACTGCTGGTAAAATAGTGGGAACTTTTGGAATGGCAACTAGGTATCCGGCAGCGAGGGTGATCGACACGATGTACCCGGGAAAGGGTAAAATAGACCGGCGCGAATTTTACACGAATTATGAAATTGACTACTGTGAACATAATATGGCTGTGGTGTTGTATTCCCGTTAGGTTTTTCGTAACATTCCTGCATTCTGATTGATTGTTGACATTCTAGCTTCACCTATCAGAAGGGATGTAAACTTGTGATTCCAATTATGATTATAATTATGATTAAGATTAAGATCATAATTATGAATACGATTCTTCTTATGATAAATAAATTTCCTATGCAACATAAAAAATTTCCTTAGCAGTATAACAAATTTCCTTAGCAACATAAAAAATTTCTTTACATAGCAACATAAGAAATTTTCCGTAGCAACAAAACCAATCCATGAGCAACATAAAAAAATTTCATTCGCAAAGTTAAACGACTTCGTAGCAAAATTATATAACCCTTAGTCCGTTGGATTTTAAACGACGTCAAGATCTGAGAAGAGCAGGTGGTGAACCTCCCCTCCTAAGTAATAATTAAATTTTTATATACATATGTATTCGCTTGATTTAAATCTTCCATGCAAACAATCATTTATCCATGTAATCACCCTATTGATTGGATATATCAGGCAGCTAATTCCGATTAATCTTGTAGCTGTCATGATAATGAAATCCAACTTTGCAACACAATTAACAACTAACTTGTATCTTTTGCATTCTGTCTGGTTTAGTCTGCACTCTTTCTGGTCTCGAAAAATTTTCCAATAAGTTATTCAGCTACAATGAAAATACCCACAATTTTCGCAACAATTTCCCTTCTTTCCGCCGTTTTGGCTGGGACTCCTTGGATCCCAGAGCCACGTGACGGATCCTGGCTTGAACGACACGAAGGGTTCGTCAACAATTCTTTGATAAACGGGGGTCAAATCAACCTTCTCTTTTACGGTGATTCCATTACTGACAACTGGGACGTGGATGATCCATATTGGGGCGCTAAAGAAATATATGACGAATATTATGCTCCCTTGGGTTCTGCAAACTACGGAGTGGGCTCGGACAGAACGGAACACGTGCTTTGGCGAATTATTCATGGGGAAGTGGAAAATTTGCGGCCAAAAGTTTGCGTTTTAAAAATTGGTCTGTTAATTAATTTTTTAGCTAATTTACTTCGTGCGCTTTAATTTCGTGCCATATTTTTCATCCAGGAACGAACAATTTGGACGAAAACACCGATGTCGACATCGCCCGTGGAATTGCCGCCATCGTTACCGAACTCAGGTCCCGCTTACCAGAGACAAAAGTGCTGTTGCTGGGAATCCTTCCGCGCGAGAATTCTGTAATGACGAGCCGATGTGACAATATAAATGGGATGATATCCATCCTGGATAATGGAAACTCGGTGCGATACCTGAATATGAGGGGTGCTTATTTTGACGGGAATTTCTTCTATGAAGGATTATATGTCCATGATTTGATTCATCTTTCCAAGTTGGGATATGCAAAATGGCAGGAGGTGATGGATCCCTTGTTTTCGGAGATGTTTAACTCGACTAATTGATAAACTCATATATTTATCTGGTTTACTTTTATTCAAGCAAAATCGGAAATTAAAAATGTACACGATTGTATCCGCTTAATGGTTAATGAGAACATGTTTACTTTCGTAAGGAACAGTAAATAATTAATAAAATGATTAGCATTTCCCTGATGTTTACTGTACATACATCTGCAATGAGATCGCCTCTGCTTCACTCACTGGGTTGATCCGTACTCGCTATCCGCACATAAGACAGCGCCGTGTTTGACTGTGCTGTTGCGAAAGTCGACAGGATGAGGGGAGGACAACCTAATGCACTCAAAACTGTTGACTTTAAAATAAACCTTTAAAACACAGAGGTCAACGCCGACCAATTTGGCGGCGGCGGCTGCGCCAATTTTGGAGATTTTTCGGCGCGGCGTCTCAATATTGAAGGAATATGGAATTATATTTATCGGCGGCGGCGGCGCGTAAAATGCTACCGGCATATGGCGGCACGCCGGCGTGAGATCGGCGGCGTTAACTTCTGGTAAAAACTGGTTCTGCGAAATTTAAATTTATTTAATTTTTTTACACTTTTCATTCTCTGTGGAGGAACTTTTTCCCTAGCAGGTATAGTTTTTGTAGTGGAAATTCACAATAAAATTTTTACCGTTGCTTCAATGTTTGTTAATTTCAAAAGAATGTCAACACTATATACTCCTTTTAAATTTACAATTGTGCAAAAAATGTGTAAGTTTTGAACAAGCGTAACCAGTGTTTCGTAAATTAAACTTAAATTGATGTCATGTCATTGACACCAGTGGTTGGCATCAAATGGTATCAAAGGACATCAATGCCGTTAAATGAAAATGGAGACAATGTAGACACTTCGCCCGTATTAAATGCCATATACTAATTATATCAATTAAATGCAATCAAATTGCTCTACATATGTACAATCATCATGATTGCATTCTACTTAATTTTTTGAAATTTTTGATGTACAATGCGTGAAATTTAAAAAATGATCACTTTTTCGAACACATAGCATACAAAAGATCGTCTTGTGAAACTGGGTTTTCTTTATCTAAAATTTCATCTAAATATCTGTATATCCATTCACGTCAAATTCAATAATTTGAATAAATCGGTTTGAATTATTTAAAAACGGAAGAATAAACAAAATTAGATGATTATGTAGATTTTTGGAATTGGAAACTATTTCGACCCAAATTATCAATTTTGATTGCTCAGAATTTTCAATTTTGTTTATCAAGCCGTTTATAAATAAAGACACAAATATGTAGATATCTAACTGATGCATATTGTGTCCTTCCACTTGTAATATTAAAATACATGAGTGTAAATAAATAATAGCGAATATACAATTTTACTTTAATTTGATCAATTTATTACTCGATTTTTTCAAAATTTCAATCCAACAATTAATATCCGAACCCACTTTACTCAAACCAATCTATTTATTTACAATTGAATATACCAAATCCCATCGTACATCATAAATGCCCCACTTCCCGCATTTTGTGACATCCCTCCAAAGAAATAAATCCTCCTCAACCTCTCCACAAAGACGGCGCTCGCTCCCTTAAATTCCTGCCTGTCGAACGCCCAGGGAAAATTAAGGACGGGAATTATGCTATGTTCCATCCTTGCCGGGCTCCACTTGAGTATCGAGTCACTCCTAATTCCCGACGGGAACCCGCCGTATCCACCCACCACGTAAACATCACTCCCATCCCATACGGCCGCCCCCTTATCTCGAACCGAAGGAAAAGTTGGACCCCCAACTTGAACTGTTTCTAACGTACTCAAATTCATCTTGGTTACATAATGTTCCCCAGATATTTCCCCTTCTGTGTAAGGATTTCCGAAAATGTAGGCGCTCCCAGCTCCATCCGCGACGGCCAGAATGACACTGTAGTTCATGGGAAGTGGGGCCAATTGTTGTACTTCCAAGGTATCCATATTGAACCGGACGACGCGATCCCGGGCCTTGACCCCTCCCAGGATCAACACCTCCTCTGATAAGGGCGACATCTGTACCGACGCAGACTCAGAGTTGGGGGAAGGCAGCATGGCCACCTTCTCCACGGTGTGGAGGGAAGTAGAGAATTTAAAAATTTCCGCGGAATTAGGCCCTCCGTGGTAGTAGATGTTGGAGGACGAATCGGACGAGGTCGTCCCATCGCAGCGGGAGACTGGAAGGAACCCCTTTGCGCGAGTTAGGGTCTCGGAGGTGATGTTAAATTGAAGGATGTCGTTCGTAACGCCGGCATACTGCCGGCCGCCAAAGATGTAGATAGAATCGCTGGATGGGTCGTAGTGAGCGTTGGTGGCGTGACGTCTGGTCGGGAGGACGGCGGCCAGTTTGGTAGCGATAAGTTGAGAATGCACCATTCTGGAGGGCAAAAGAAGGAGGTAGAGGGATAAGGTGGTGATGAGAAGCAGATGAAATTTCATTTTGGCAAGGTTTTGGCAACGATGGGGACAATGTAGGTATGGTAATGAGTTTTTGTTGGTGAATGAATGGGCTGCAAATTCTGTATTTAAGGGCAAAAAGTTATGACGTGCCGAGTTGTTATCGAATATGGTACAACACAAGTCAATTACGTACATTAGTGGAAAACACGAAACATAATTAAATTATTGGGTACATGAGAGGAAAATGTTTACTTAATAAGTTTACGTAATAAAGTATGTACATACGTTATTGAGCTTGGGTGATTTAGTTGTGTGACATGATTGATACGCATTCCGTTAATTGCTTTTAGCAAGGCTGACACGATTTCCACATCTTATCACTAACTAATGTAAAAAAGTAATCCTTACAATCGTCGGTCTCGTGCTTTGGTAACACAAGTTAATTTAAAAAATCGCGTCGACACGTCATACATACACTTGTGACATATCTTAAGAATGTACAATACATAATCCAACATCCAAACTACCAAATTACCAAAGTTTGGTAAAATAAATTATCCAACAATAGAGTAACAATAAATAAAATCGGAATCACTTCACGCCCTGACAATTTTAGTTTGGATAAGACTCAATCGTCACAGATTGACGAAAAATGATTTTTGCACATAAATTCTTGCACTTTACGTCATAAGTAGCATATTGTGGTCATTTTCGTATAGGTGGGAACCCTGGATTCAAAGGGCACCTCGAAGGTTTCCCTTGTGATTGACAATGCAAGTCTTTTACGTGTACAACTCATCGGGTTGGGACCAATTTTATTTTGCTCACCACAAAAAATAAGCATACCCGTATTTTTTTGTTTTTCATAATGCGCTAATTTGAGCGCGAGGCGCGAATTTTAAAATATTTTTCAGCCAAAACCTCGGTTTCTTAAAATTCTGTAAATTTTCGAATTTTAGCGCGAATCCAAAAATTCGAAAGCATGTCTCCTCAGAATGACTTACCTGACTTATGAAAAATCCAATTGTCTCGAAATTTGAATTTCAAAATTTTTTGCCAGTTTTTGAAATTCATTAAAATTATAAACTATTTCAAATTTTTAATTTTTCAAGAAATACTGCATTTGGATTTTTTACAAGTCAAGCAAGTCATTCTGAAGACACATGTTTTCGAATTTTTGGATTCGCGCTAAAATTCGAAAGTTTTCAGAATTTTTAAAAACCGAGGTTTTGACTGAAAAATGTTTTAAAATTAGCGCCTCGCTCTCAAATTAGCGCATTATGAAAAATTAAAAAATACGGGTATGCTTATTTTTTGTGGTGAACAAAATAAAATTGGTCCAAACCATATCTGATTTGTACACGAAAAAGACTTGCATTGTGAGTACGTTTGATGCATGCCCTAAATTTTTCAAGGAATTTAGGAGTCTATGATTATTTTTAAACTGTTTGCTTCGCATATTTAACAAAATTGCAATTAACCTATTTAAACAAGTTTAGTTCTGTACTACGGAAAGAAAATTGGGAATCACGTAAAGGTTGACATTTCGAGTTTGGCTAAATAAGTAATTAATGTATGTATGTAGGTATTCATTATTTCCTTGGCATTATTCACGGTTGTGAGATTCTGTACTTGTAGATGATCCGAGCTATGTCATGGGACGAAGTGCACGAATAAGGAAATATGTTTTGTACTAATTTCGCAACAAAACTGCTAATTAATTATATTTTAATAAGTAATTAATTTGCAGAATTGCTAGTGATACCTGTTATCAAATTTGGTAAAATTTGAAAACACCGACTGCGCTGAGTATTAATACCCGTGGGTATTGCTCAAATTGGTTACGGCAAAACCCACCAAAACCCGCAATACCCCAACACCTCAAAAACCTACCCTAATGACTGATGCTTGGTGATTATCCAGGTAAACAATTTTCCAAATTTATTAATTGCACTTAACTATTTTACCTTGGACTTGTCAAAATCGATCAATGTCGATGTTGATGTCAGACTTGATCTACATAAATATATCACTGAATTTTTTACCAGGTTGGGATAAATTGCCAATTTTCAAGCAGAAAAAGATATCTCCATTAGGTAATAAATAAAGAATGCATACCAATTGAAAGTAGATTTCAATGTGAAAGATACTATCCGTCACATTTTCTACGCAAGAAACAAACAAAAAATAAGATTGTTGTTCAGACAATGATTGCTGAATATTGTAACGTAAAAGGCAAGCGGCAACCAATCTTCATAATGCTTGAAATTTTTACACAAATATTTCATGAACTTCATATTCTCAATCCAATACAACTTTTAGGCATAATTTAGCATATATGTAGAAGTCCAGGACTCCTCCTTGAATTATTAGATTAACTCAAATCCTCCAACGATACCGGAGTTTAAACATTATTACAATTTTGCTGAAGTTTAACTGGATTATCCGGATTGTGAATATCCTTTAAAGAAATCAATCGATTTGGATCGACTTCTGTAAATAATGCAGAAAGTCAACCGCTTCTCTAACATTGTTGAGTTTGAAATCCATAAATCTAAATCATTTCCCGTCAAGTCAGAACGTTAAGAAGGAAATCATACCAGCTTTGTTAAACTACGGAGAATTCATCCTCAGTCTGAAGCACTTGCCCTTAGTTGTTTCAGGGTCATTTATATACATAACTAACGAAAAATATAAAAGCGTCCAATGCAACCTTTTTCATAGGGCATTTCCAATTTAATGTCATA